TTTAATAAAAATAGTTATACCACTATTTCGCCTATTTATGACCGCCACCCCAGACCATCCACTTCCTTCAGATGGTCAACTATTAAATATTCAATAAAGAAAAAAATGTATTAAATAGTATATAAGACTTTAAAAAGTCTGTCAATGAGATGTTTTACTCTATATTATTTCTATAGGTTACATAACTGGCTATATTTCAAGGTATAAAATTTGTTAGAATCATAAGATAATTATAAATTAAAATCTTCAGAGAAGGGATTTTTGAAGTATACTGTTGTCAAGTAGTTTTAAAATGTAGGCATTTTTTAACTAATACCCAAATTTCCTCCAGCTTTGAGCCAATAAAACAAGCTCATTTTAATCAAATCAAACATATGGTTGTTTAAAAAAATGTATTTAAGTGTGCATAAGCGAATGAGGTGTGATTTGATCTAGGTACCAAACAGCACGATCTCTTAAAATACTATGAAAATTCGCTTAGGTAGAATGTGATATGGCCTTCATTACAAACACGGGACGAAATTTGATTAGTGAACTAAAAAAAAAAAAAGAACGAAAACTGAGATGAGAAACTAACATTAAGAATTGAATCAAAAAGACAATAAATATACCGCAATTTAATCAAAATAAATATATATTAGAATTCTTCATATATATTAATAATTAATATAATTATTTTGAAGTTCTGCAATCTCAGAATTTTGTGCGATAAATATCAAGCAGCAACTACCACATGAATTAATAAAGTCTTGAAACAATTTTATGAAATATATAACTTTTATTTTTTAGTCTATCATTTTTGTTTTAACGTTAGGGTTGATTTTCAAAATTATATTCATTAAATTGAAAATTTGAAAAAATATTATTCTCGTCCTTTTAATTTGAAATTATTGTATTTCTAAAAGACGAATTTCTGCATTGGAGAAATTAAAATAAAAAATAAAATAAATATTTGTAATAAAATTTCGAAAACTTCATTGTCAACCCGTTATTAAAACCTAAACAATGTCTCTTTATTCGTCTCTTCAAAATATTATTTATTAATGATTTAATTTCAAATTTTAATCATTTCATTATAGCATAAGTAAGTTGGGTCAGGAAAACGAAGAGCAAAAATAATTAAACTATTGTAACCGTTACAGACAGGTATAACAAGATGAGTTTACAGTCTGTAAATCAGGGATTTCAAACTAATTATTTTCGATACAACATCGAAAAATATTAGACATTTATTCCGGCGTTCTTTTCAATGGTTCAAAATTGAAACAAAATTTATTTTATTTATTTTTGTCTTTGATTTGTCCTGGTTTTTAACTTATAATGTACCAATTACCTAGGCAAAAAATTAGAACTAAAAATTTTAATTTTTCGATTACTGTAAAAATTCGTATTTGAGAATACTAGTGTTGTCCAAAATCGGTTTTGGTCTTGCACTTTGCGAGACCAAGACCAAGGCTGCCTAACTTTTGCAAGACCAAGACCAGGACTGGTAAAAAAAATCCATTTTTAAATTAAAATTAAGCCAAAATAGTTACTAATACTTGACAATCTTAGATACTATATGTTAATAATTGGTGTAACCAATATGCTTTTGCATTTAACTCTTATAATTTTTCATTCAGGTTCACATAGGTTTCTCCTATCTAAAAAAATACAGTAATATCTCTATAGTAATAAGCTAATAAGCAACTGCAAGACTGTTGCGAGACGCTTGCGCAAGACCAAGACCATGACCAAGATTGAGTTTGCAAGACCAAGACTCGTCTCGGTCTCGCATTTGGGCAACACTAGAGAATACGAAAAACAAATATCAATTTTGTTTCTCTCTAAAAATATATTTCCTTTAACAAGGCTATGTTGGTTTGTCCAAATAGTTACTATAATATCGCTAGCTGCCAAATACTTTTTCATATATATATTTATAATATCAGACTGAAACGAAAAGAAACCGCTCGACGTTTCCGATTACTTCAGCACTTAATAGAAAAACGCTTTAAACTTCCAAATGATTACAAAAGACTCATATTCATGACTATAATAAGGCATATTTGGACTTACGGAGTTAAGCTATGGGGCTCCACCAAACCTTCAAATTCCTCTCGTAACAAACGTATTTACAATCCAAAATCCTTCGTAAAATCCTCAATGCTCCTTACTTTGTTACAAATAAAATTATCCATAATGACCTTAATGTTCCTTATGTATCAGATTTGGCCCAATCCAGATATCTGTCCTTCCATAATAAACTTCAGAATCATCCCAACCCTCTCGTTTTTAACCTTGCTTCCTCTTCAATTCCTGATAACCCTCCGAGGCGTCTGAAAAGGAGATGGCCCCGTGATCTCCTAATGTAGACATAATATCAGAGTGCTACCATTTGGTAGTTTCTCAACAAGTGTTTTCACGTCAATATATCTTTATGTTCAAATTTACTAAATGTATTTCTTTAATACACTTGTAAATATCATTAAGAAAAAAAAAAAAAAAGTTCTTGCTATTGACATCTCACCAAGCTAACCAAAAACATATTGAAGCATACAGGAGAGGAACGTTATATAAAACAGTTGATTTGCTGGGATAGAGGAAAAAAATACTCATACTTGAAATATAATAATATAAAAATGTATCAATAAAATTTAAATAAAAAAAGGAAGTACAAATTAATAAATATAAAATCTTCTTTTTTCTTTTTTTATTTATTAACACATTTTTATATAGTTATATTTCATTTAAGAGTATTTTTTTCCTTGCATTTCTGCTAATCAACTGTTTTATATAACCCTCATCTCTTGTTTTCTTTAGTATTAGGAAGGTTTTATGAGATGTAAATAGCAATTTGTTTTTTCTGCATATATGTCAACTTGTTTTTTCTTCCCTGATGATGACTGAATCGGAGAAACTTTGGCAAATTAACTGTTCACATGTACGTCTCTTTTCGATCTTTTAGCTTATTTTTGTTGTAAAATATTAATATTATATTTTTTCTGGTATCGAGAAGAAAGAATTTTTACTAATTTTGAATTATATTATACTTCACAATTACACAAAAGCACAAGTAATAACCTTACAATCTTCATAGTTATGTCTTATTAATGCACTATTGTGAATAATAATTTGATATTTTAAATGTATAAAAACCAGTTATCCATGTTGGATGATAACTTATAACGTCACTGAAAATATATTTAATTATGAAAAAAAATTCACATTCAAATATTCACACCCCCATACCAGACTGAAACGACTAGAAACCGCCCGACGTTTTCGACTACTGCAGCACTTACTAGACAAACGATCTAAGCATTCAATCAATTATAAACGACTCGTATATATGACAATAATAAGACCTATTTGGACTTATGGAATTGAGCTTTGGGGCTCCACTAAACCATCAAATTCCTCTCGTATCCAATCCTTACAATCCAAAATCCTTCTTAAAATCCTCACGCTCCTTACTTTGTCACAAATAAAATCATCCATAAAGACCTTAATGTTCCATATGTTTCCGATCTGGCCCAATCCAGATATCTTTCCTTCCATAACAAACTGCAGAACCATCCGAATCCTCTCAAACCTTGCTTCCTCCTCGATCCCCGATAACCCTCCGAGGCGTCTGAAAAGAAGATGGCCTCGGGATCTTCTAATATAGAACTTTAATTTGAGTTCTACCAATGGGTAGTTTCTCTTCATGTTGTACATGCCATGTTACCAATTTCTCATTTACTCATTGTATTCTCTATGTAATACAGTTGTATATTCCATTAAAATAATAATAAAAAAAAAAAAATATTCAGACTTCATTAACAACCCGTTATGTGTACATATATACATACAAAACTACATTATTGCTCGGTCTGTTAATTTCTATAATTCCATTCCTATCAAAATTCGGCATTCCCTCTCACTATATACATTTAAAACCCTCCTATTCCAACTCCTGTCCTAAAATCAGTCAGATACCCGCTAACCTTTTATGTAAAATTACATACTATTCATAATGATGTATTTACATATAATTCATCACTTGAATACTCTGACAATTTTTACTATCAAATTCGGCATTTTTTTTTTCTAAGAAGAATTTAATGTATTTTTTCTATATTTTTTTCTGAAATTGTTTGTTTATAATTTGCCACTGTACATAGTTTTAAGTGTCTTGGCATGGTTTCAAGTGTTTTGTATATAGATTTTTTTATTTATTCTGTATATAGTATGTTTAACTAATGTTTTCTTTACTTATTTCTCTTTGTTTTTACTTTTTGTTTGTTTTTATTTAGACCAGATATAATATATTAGTTTTGTACTTGTTTGTTATTCTAAAGGGACTTTGTCCTTGAGTAAAATTATTTTCTATTCTATTCTATTCTTCACATAAAAGAGCGTTCCGTCCTTCAGGAAGGATGTGATTATTTTCTTAATATATTTTTGTTTAAAAGTAAATTATTTTTATTTAAACGATTTTAGATTTCCAATAATTGGCAATTTACATTCATCATATATAATCATGAAATTACATGTGATATGATCTAAAAACATCAACAATTGGCGATACTTAAAATATAAAAAATTATTTTCCTGTATTTTGAGCTCAAATTGTTTCAAAACATTCACGGTATCTGACTGTGCTTCAGATGGATAGATTAAACACATTTGATACCATAAAATGTTAAAGCATTTAACTCAAATTGTGGAAATGATAAAATTCAGTATTTTCTTTTTTTTAAGACTACAAATCCTGTCATATTTATATTAACTAAATGAAAAGTTAAACTCTCGAATTGACCATTAAATAAAATGTATAGGTATTGTTATAGATTTTAAAATAAAGGAGACATTGATTATTGATAAATATTAAAGAGACAAATAAAAAAATTAAGGAATTTATCCGCTCACATTATCACTTTATCACCTCGCGATATGACGAATGGATAACGATATCTCATTTTCGTGACAGGTTTCTTCCAATAAAGCTAATCTTAATGAGTAATCTTTGAGGATGTTTAAGCAGTTATCATTTTGTCAAGTTCCAAAACTGATAAGTGTAAATAAGACACCAGCCCCGTATCAAGAAGGTGATGTCCCATCCAGTTCTGGAAATTTAATATCTGATACAGATTAAGTTATTTGAAATAAAGATGTGTTTATCTGCAAATTGGATACTTAATTAACAGCGCAGTAGCCATAAACGAAAAATAGTTTTTGTAGGATCAAATGAAATTATTAACAATTAAAATAGGACTATCATCACAATGTACGATTTAAAAAAAAAAAATTCTTTGAGTTCATAAACATCCCTACGAAAAAGAATAAGTTGATTTAAATAGACAGGTAATGACTACATATCGTTTTATTTATGTGGAATTATTAATAACCGACAATGAAAGCTTCCTTAAAAAACTGTTTTATTACAACGGACTAAGTCGTAGATTGTTCTTTTAAGTTTGAGAGAGTGAAAAGTTTTATATACCTTGGGTCTGAAATTAATAGCAAAAATGACATGGCTCAAGAAATACAGAGAAGGATCATGGCTGCCAATAGATGTGTCTTTGGACTTGGCCGGCACTTAAGAAGTAGGTATCTCTCAAAGAAGACCAAGCTGATCATATACAAGACCCTTGTATGGCCTGTTTTGACATATGGCTCAGAGGCTTGGACGATGACTAAAAACGATGAGATGAAGCTGAGTGTGTTTGAGCGAGGAATCTTCAGAAGGATTTATGGTCCAGTAAAGGAGGGTGATGTCTGGAGGAAAAGAAAAAATAGGGAGCTCAGTTCTCTTTATGCAGACATCGACGTAGTCACGTATATTAAACTGGCCACATTAAGGTGGGCAGGGCATGTGGCCAGAATGAGCACAGTTGAGATACCCAAGAAAATAATGATGGAGGAGCTGCACCTCGCAAGACGGGTAGGAAGGCCGAGGACGAGGTGGTTGGACAACGTGGCTTATGATGCGAGAAGCCATACACCTGCTTGGTGTACGGAACTGGAGAGCTGCAGCACAAGACAAAGCCAACTGGCGGAGGCTCTTGGAGGAGCCCTAGTCTCGGTAACGGGATGTCGTGCCACATATGATGATGATGACGTCGTAGATTGAGGTCCTTTATTGTTCAATGAATCGTGACTTTCGCGATCTGCATATAAAAATAATTTTTTTTTTAAACTTATTTATTCCGAATTATTACAATCTGTCACAATTAAGGACATTTATAATAGAGTTTAGAGACCACATTCACACTCTATTTACAATAAATAATACTTTATTACACAAGCATACTTTCAAACAATATTTACATAATCCATTCCCTCAGGAGAACTCCGAGCCAAGCCTTTCTCCCCACTCTTGGAAGGAAAGGCAGGACTCCCCCTAGGACTAGGAGATCCCAGCGCCTCTCACTCAGCCGCATTACTGGTATTAAGGACCAGTAGAGGCTGAGCAGAGGCGCCAAAATCACACATACATTGTACAAAAAATAAATTCCTAAACTTATGCTGTTAAATATTTGGTTCTGTTTGTCTTATTTATTATCCATACATGGCACTAGTGTTGCCCAAATGCGAGACCGAGACGAGTCTTGGTCTAGCAAACCCAGTCTTGATCATGGTCTTGGTCTTGCAAAGTGCAAGACCAAGACCGATTTTAGGCAACACTACATGGTACATATCTTATTATTATTTATAATAATATATACCTATATTTATATGTACCATTCGTTATTTTATTGATTAATGTATTTTACTATGTCTTATTATTATTGTATATATTAGATTAGATTATATTTCTTTGTTTATACTTTGCCATACAGGCAGGTCCTTGGTTGTTATTATGAGAATATGCTATCATTGTACCCCTATAAATTATTTTTACATAGGTCTTAAAATTTTTTATATTAATTTATTATAATCATTATTCGATACTGTTAGTGTAGCCCTAAAGCAAGAGCAAGACAGGTCTTGGTTTTGATCACTCAGTCTTGTTCTTGAGAAAGAGTCCCGCAATAGTCTTGCAGTTACCTATTAACTTGGAAAAACGCTACAGAATAGGTACATTTAGATGTTTGATTGCCATAAAAAGTGAAGTCCAACCAAACTAATAAAATTAAAGTGAAAATACACCAAAGGCATTGTCAAGAAAGACCGTGATAAGCCCCCCACCTTAGAATTGAAGAGGATGCAGAGTAAAGTCAATCTAAACAGTGTCACCAATTATTTTGAAAAAATCTGGTGTATCCACTCACATGACATTCTTACTGATTTTGAATTTTTTTTTTTTTTTTTTTTTTTTTTTTTTTTTTTTTTTTTTTTTTTTTTTTTTTTTTTTTTTTTTTTTTTTTTTTTTTTTAATTTATATATGTTCATGATAAATAACACAATTTAATCAGTGATGATAAATAACCCCTCGCGCGGGCTCATTACCGCGTATGGGGAGCGTCCCACGGGTGGCGGATGTGGGGATGGTCGGTGGAAATTCCTTGGAAGTTCCTCCCGGCTAAGTCCGATGGACTCGCTGACCAACAATGAGAGGGGCCCTCCAGACTTGCTGGAGGGAGGGGACCTCCAGACTTGCTGGAGGTAGGGGCCCACCAGACTTGCTGGAGGGTGTGACGTAGGATTGAACGCCCTACTCACATATCTTTAGTTCACCAAACACCACAAAAAGTCATGGATCTCCCTAAGGTAAAACGCTCATTATCCGGAGGTAAACTAGTCCCCCGTTCGGGTCTCCGGGTGGGGACTGCTTTAGGGGATTCATGCCGCAAGTTGAAATATAGGGATTTAAATATTGGTACGTGGAACGTAAGGAGTTTAAACACAGCAGGGGGGCTAAAATCGGTCGCGAATGAGGTAAATGGGTACAATTTGGATGTCGTGGCTCTGCAAGAGGTTCGCTGGCCAGGGGAGGGCTCGATGAGGGAAGGAAAGTACACTATTTGGTACGGAGGAAGCGGGAATCATTGTTTAGGTACCGGGTTTCTAATTAGGAGTAGATTACTATCCGCTTTGAGGGACGTACAATTCTTTAGTGATAGAATTTCGGTAGCTACATTTCAGGGACGTTGGTTTAAAATCGCATTAATAAACATACATTGTCCGACCGAAGACAGTGACGATGAAGTCAAAAGTGAATTTTACGATAAACTCGAATGGGTTTATGATAAACTACCGCGAAACTACATGAAAATAATTGTAGGTGACGCGAACGCAAAGGTAGGAAGGGAAGAAGTTTATATTCAGACGATTGGTAAAGAAAGTTTGCACGAATATAGTAATGATAATGGGATCCGTCTGATAAACTTTGCCATCTCGAAAAACCTGGTAATTAAAAGTACGACGTTCAAACGTAAGGATATTCATAAATATACTTGGACATCGCGGGATTCGCAAACACGAAATCAAATCGATCATGTCTTGATACAACACAGCTGGCAAAGCAGTATAATCAATGTACGGTCTTATCGCGGAGCAGAATGTGGGTCGGATCATGAATTAGTAATCGCGAAACTTCGACAAAAACTTAATATAAAAAAGAGAAAAGAAAACCGTTTCGATTTTGAGAATTTTAATTTGGAAAAATTAAAAAATCCATCAATTAGAAACCAATTCGAGCTAGATGTTAAGAATAGGTTTGAAGCTTTAGAGCTTCTTGACGAGGACCACGAGGATATTGACAAGTTATGGGTAGAGATCAGGGATAATATTAAAGCGGTCGGTAACTCGTGTCTAGGAAAAAAGGAAAATAAGAATAACAAACCGTGGTTTGATGAAGATTGCTTAAACATGTGCGAAAAAAGGAAAGCCGCTAAATTAAAAGCTCTAAATAATCCTAGCGAAGACAATCTGGAATACTTCCGAATCTCAAAGAACGAAACGACAAAATTGCTCAAAAATAAAAAAAGGGAGTATCTCAAAAATAAAATAATTGAAATAGAAACTAATAGAATCGAAAATAACGTAAGAGACATGTACAAAGGTATAAACAGATCACGTAAATATGTAGGGCCCGTAACGTCTGGAATTAGGGATGATAATAACAATATTCTGACCGATCCGGTTGACATATTGAATAAGTTTAAGGACCACTTTGACAATATTTTAAATACGGGAAATTATGATCTGTGTCCTCCTTCTGAGTACCAGAGTGCTGAACCGTTGATAGAAGGACCAAGTAAAGAGGAAGTTGAAGTAGCTATCGGTAAATTAAAATCATATAAAGCAGCGGGAATCGATAATATTCCTACTGAACTAATTAAGGCATGCGGGGAAGCTGGAGTTTCTAAAATACATCGCTTGGTTGAAAAGATCTGGGTGAACGAGAAATTACCTGAAGAATGGAAAGAATCTATTCTTATTCCGATTCACAAAAAGGGTCCGAGGACGGATTGTAATAACTATCGAGGAATTTCACTCCTTCCGGTATGTTATAAAATATTCACTTTAATCTTAACCAGTCGAATCACGGAATACGCCGAGGAAATTATCGGAGACTACCAATGCGGATTTAGACGGAATCGTTCGACTATTGATCAAATATTTTCTTTACGGCAAATATTAGAGAAAAAATTGGAGTATAACGGTATTGTTCACCAGCTGTATATAGATTTTAAAAAGGCTTACGATTCTATTGACCGCCAGAAACTGTATAATATTCTAATCGAGCAGGGAATTCCAAAAAAACTAGTAAATCTAGTCAGGATGTGCTTGACGGAGACACTCAATAAAGTTAGAATCGGTAATAATTTGTCCGAAAAATTTGAGGTTCGTTCGGGCTTAAAACAGGGGGATTCTCTTTCGCCTGTCCTGTTCAATTTGGCATTAGAACATGCCATTAGGGAGGTAATGCGTACCGAGAAAGGGTTGGATCTGGGCGGGACAACATCCGTGCTGGGCTATGCTGATGATCTGGTACTGTTAAGCGAAGACGTTGAAACTATAAAACTAAATACGACAACGTTAATGAAAGCCGGTAAAGAACTAGGACTCGAAATAAACGTGGATAAAACAAAATATATGGTTAGCTGCAAAAATGGCGATACTACTGGTGATATCGATATAGATGGTAATATGTTTGAACAGGTAGATAAATTTAGGTATCTAGGTTCTACAATAACTAGAAAAAACGAAATTGAAGAAGAGATTAAAGTTAGACTGAAGGCGGGGAATGCTTGTTATTTTTCTGTGACAAAACTACTCAGTTCGCGCCTCTTGTCCCGAAACTTAAAAATTAGAATCTATAAAACAATTATCTTGCCTACAGTTCTTTATGGATGCGAAACTTGGCCGCTTACATTAAGGGATGAGCAGCGTCTTAAGGTTTTTGAAAATAAAGTATTGCGTAGAATATTCGGACCGAAGAAGGATGAGTTAACCGGAGAGTTCAGACGGTTACACAACGCCGAATTGCGTGAGCTATATCCGGGTAATATAATTGAGGTAATTTCATCGCGGCGAATCAAATGGGCTTGTAAAGTTGTTGGGCTTAGTAACGAGAGAATTCCTAAAAGGTTAATATTTGCTGTGCCGAATGGTAAGCGTCGGAGGGGTAGACCGAAGCGAAGGTGGGAAGATTGCATTAAAGCTGATCTGAAGGGACTGGGTTTGGACGGCGAACGGTGGAGGGAGGTGTGTAACAAGCGATTGGTGGTGTCGGCATCGAACCTTCGGGTTCGCTAAGCCTTATTATTATTATTATTGATAAATAACCAAAAGTATTCTTTAATTAACTAAAGAAAGGTAAAAAGGCAAATCAACAAGTATCGAAATCAGTTTATAAAATTCAATACAATGTAACATTGCTAAAACTGGTCGAATTGCTATGCTGCTAAAACTGCACCTTCTCTGGATTCAGTGATAAATGTCTTCAAGTACTTATTTCTTGGTTCGTTGAACTTGATACATTGGATTAGAAAATGAGTTACCGGGCCAGTTACAAGGCAGTTGCATGCACCACATACCTCATTAGATTTAATAGTCAAAGTAGCATCTTTTAAGTATATTTTCATAAAATCTGTACTTGCTACTCTGAGACGACTAACGGCTCTTAATTTGTTTAAATTCAGAGCCCTGAACTGAAGATAATCCTCTGGTCAATGGTTAGATGTTATCATTAATAATAATAATAATAATAAATAATAATAATAATAAAAAGTTACCGATCCTCCAGCAGGCTCTTTTTGGAAGTCGATATTAGTCCTGACGGTCCTGTGGTGTAGCGGCTGGAGGGGGCGGGCGTTGTTACCCAGGGGCGCTTTAGGAATTTTTTCTGATCCCTGCATTAATTTCCTTAGGGAATACATCTGAAAATAAAATAAATTTATAGGTTCCTGTATTGAGGAGGTCATTTTAAATACATACCTCCCGATATGAACCGGGATGATATTGAATTTTTTAGAGAAAGTGTTATTAATTTAAGTGACTATGTATAGCTTATATTAAATAAATTCTAGTTTTTCATTTATATCTTATGTAGGTTTTTTATGAGGTTTTTCCTACTGAAAAAAATGGATTGCAGTTTTCTAAACAGCATTCATACCACTAGTATGTCATGTATAAGATTACTGCAACCATAAACATGTAATTTATCATTAAAAGACATGATGTAATGTATATATATATATATATAAAATATATATATATATATATATATATATATATATATATATATATATATATATATATATATATATATATATATATATATATATATACATATATTTTTTTAAATGAAAAGTGTTTATAAAATTTAAATATTATAATAATAGTAAAACTGAAAATTATAAAATTTTAGTTTATGAGGTTTAAAAAAAAAAAAAAAAAAAAAAAAATACAGGCACATAAATATATTAATCAAAAACACTAATATAAACCACAAAAGAAAAATTAAAAAAAAAAAAAAAAAATATATATATATATATATATATATATATATATATATATATATATATATATATATATATATATAATTTGTCTTAGTGAAAAATCTCAATTTTCTGTCAAAGGACAGATTTATTTAGTATTTCTGGGATATTAATTAATAATAAATAATTTGAATTTGTTAAATAATATATACAGAGATAAGTTAATATATACATTTTTTAGCATTAATTTTACTGATATTTTTAGTTGGAAAATGTATACCTTTATTCACAATTATATATTTTAACACTGCAATCAATTAACACGAGGTGTTCCTCAATCTCCCCGACCCTTTTCTCTATCTACATTAGTGACCTTCCTGACGTCATTCAACACTCCAGTTACCACCTATATGCCGATGATTTCCAAATATACCAATCATTCCAATACCATCTGAGATGCCTGAGGCTGCCCGAAGGCTACAAGAACATATTGACTGCATCAACAGATGGGCAGAAATAAATGAATTAAAGCTGAATGCAGATAAAACTAAGGCTATTCTCATCGGTTCCAGACATTTCATTAGCTCCCTTCCTTACTTTCCTCTACTTAACCTCAATAACCGTCGCATCCATTTTTTCCCTACAGTCAAAAACCTAGGAGTAACCTTTGACCAGAATCTGTCCTGGAATAACCATATCTCCCAGATTACCCGAAAATCCATAACTGCCCTTAAGCAGCTCCTGAGATTCCGTGATTGTATTCCTCTAAAAAAAATTCCCCCACTTCGACTACGTAAGATTGGTGTAGTGAAGGCTATCTGGCAGGCTAGAAATGAGACTGAAGAGACTCATGAATTGTTTCATAAGATACATTTTGGGAATCCCCAGGCGTTCCCATGTTTCACTCTGGTATACCGAATTGAAGGGGCTTTATCCTACTTCCCGACGACAATTCCTCCTGGTCTTTCTCTTTTCCAAGTCTTCAGAACCGAAAACCCTCCCTACATCTTGGAACTCCTTACTATACGCTCTCTCAATACTAGGTCTCAACCTATAGATTTATATATCCTCTCCCATAGAACTTCCTCCTCCAGCAAATCCTTTGTCATTCGTGCTGCTTCCTTATGGAACTCACTTCCTACATCCATGCGTCAATCTTCGTCCACAAATTTGTGAAACAACTCGTGTTCCACCACCTACTCCACATTCAAACTTCCGCTAACATGTAAAATTACATGCATCTGTACACTATTTAATTTCAATCTATTGCACAATTAAAATAACAATTAACAGTAAATTAGTTTGTATTTTTATTATTATGTCACACTACGACCCATAAATTTGTAACTCTGTTGTTATTCTTAGGAGACAGTAGTCCCAGAATAAAATTATTTTTTCATTCCATTTCATATTAATCACCTTCTCTGGAATCAACTTACTCACTGTCTGTACATATATTATAAATTTTCCAATTAGAAATATCACTAAAATTACTTTACTCAAAGATATGTAATTGGGTTTAGTCATTGTGTCAACTGAAACGTTCATTAACTGTTCCCAGCTCATAGTGTTTGAAAATAGATTTTGTTCTATGAAAAAAAAACCCTGGCAATCCAGATTTCTAAGCCACAGAAAAATAGCTTTGATACTATCTTAATCATAATTAAATTTTCTTCAAAATATATACAGTTGATCCCTCCGGCTCTCCGGATTAACCGGTAATAAAAGCGGAAATCGGAAAAAAATTAATGTTTTTTCTCCTACAATTGGCTAGTTTCAGCAAACCAAATTTTTTAGACAAATGAGATTGCTACCAATCTTGACCTGGGAACTTATATTAACAGAATTAATGGGATAGCAAACTTATGAAGGTAAAATTAACAGGGTAACAAATAGCGAAAATCTTGGTATATGAGGGAAGATGGTTACTGACTTGCTCATTTAAGACAAGTTGCATGGATCGATTCTATACACTAGTCTTTTCTATTTTTTCTTTAGTATATAACCGTAATGCACGAGTTACGACAGGTGGATTTAAGGGGGAAGGAGGGAGCTTTCTGGCTGAAACTCCCTAAAATCAATTTTTTTTTTTAATTGGGCCGTATTTATTAATCTGAGCGATATAAGCTAAATACTTAAATAATAATTATATGTTCTATTTTTTAAAAAATAATACTTATAATACTACTAAATATAACCATGTTTTGTGAATAACATTTTAAAATGATACTATAAAAGTATTAATATTCGTGTAATTACATTTCTAAGAGGACATCAAGAAGCAATAAAACACCATTTCATATAGGCAGTTGTGTCTTTCTTTTTCTTAACAAGCAATTATCGGTATATATATAAAAGTTTCGAGTTGAAGCCCCCAAAAATTAAGTCCTGGATCCGCTTCTTTTAGTTACTAGTGCATTTCAGTTATGTACTAAAGGCCAGTTATTTATTGAGAAATATAAGAATCTGCCATAATGAATAACATTTACAATAGTGTTCAGAGAAGAAATTAAGAAAGAACGAACTCACATTCCATTTTTAATAAATACAAATAAATTAAACAGAAAATAATAATACTAAAAGTAAATGTATATAAACGAAAAGAACTAAACTAATCAAAATAACAACCTATAAACGAGCATACTTTAAAAAAAAAAAAATTTAATAAGGGTGATCCGAACCATGACAAAATAAAGCGGAAAATTAATAACAGAGTTAAAAGCTCGTAATCAATACATCTTTATGAAGTTCAGTTTATCAGGTTATCGGAAAAAGCCTAATTTATACACGCGTTAGCCATTTAGGCCACCCTTCCCCCCCCCCTAATTCGAGTGCATCTGCGACAGGGGCCTTCAACAGAGTGTTGTAGAACCCTCATGATCTTCTGCATCAAGACCAGGGTACATAGCCATCCACCCTCATCAATCCCCGATAATGGAGGGGACAAGGCAGCGGCTTGTGTATCATTCATGCTACATCTGACTATAATACAACTACAGAAACGTGTGTGGCCATCTAGATTAATTATTGATTATGAATAGTTCAGTAGGAATCAGGGACTTCATTATCCTCGATGTAAACGTTCTATGAACAAATCTAATGAAATCCCATTAATTTAATTTTATTCGTGAATAAATGTTTACATTTGTTTTGTCTTTCAGACCTGAAACATTTTTTTTTTCATGAATCAATATTCAAAACAAAGTTATCATTACAAAACAAACTGACTTTCGATATGTCAATTTACTCAAACGACCTTAATTAAATAAATATGTCTCCTAACGTCTATGGGCAAGTATAAGTTGCTTTCACATTTATTTTATAATTTTCTCTCCTACATCACCCAAAGGCCATTTCAACATCACTTCAAAAAGATACGTCAATTAGGAATAAGAAATGTTTATCAAGTATTTGTTAGAAGGAGATGAATAAAGGATCAGTGAAGAGCAACACTTGGCAAGAGAAGAAGGAAATGTGTTGTCCGGTGAAATGAAGTGATGAAAGTTTGATCAACCTCTCTCCGCATTTGAAGGATAGGGACGGAAGGAGAAACGGGAAAAGGTCTTCCGTGGTAAATGAAATTGATAACTTATCTATAATAATTTCTTCTCCTTCCTCTTTACCTCCCTTCCAAAAAAAGGGGGAAAACAAAAAAAACAACTAAATCGTTCATATAAAACACCTAATATTGACTATAAATAAAATAAAATGAATTTTCCACTCCAATCAAAAGGTATTACACCAAATATTATGTCTTGCCAGTTTCATAATTGTTCTTATTGATTGTTGGAAGATTTTAAATAATTGCAAATATAAATCATCAAAAATGTTAGTCCGTAATTGTTACCCAAAACGCGACGTGAATAAAGAAAAATACACAAGATGCGTTGTAGGTGTTTCTAGCCGGTCATCGTTCAAAATCCAAAGCATTGAGGACAAAAACAATTAACAAACAATCATCGTTTTACTGTTTAAATTATTAGAGTGCTACCAATGGGTAATTTCTCAACAAGCCTTTTCGGGTGATTGTAATATTACTGTCTGCACATTTACTAGTTGTATTTTTTATAATACAGTTGTAAATATCAATGAATAATAAAAAAAACAAAAAAAAAAACTATTTAAATTCGTTCTTTGTTCTAATGCAAAATAGAAGATCTGGGCAATAAAACTAGTCCTAGACTCGTTTTGAGAATAGTTATTTTCGCCTAATCTCCATTGATGGGGTTCGAATTAAAAGAGCTATCCTCAAAATATTCAAAGAGCCCATCCCCCAAAACAATTTTTCACAATGTTTCATTTATTATTTAAACAATTATATCCTTAGAGAAGGGTATAAAATAGACATCTAGCGGAATTCACGGTTTCTTGCATCGGTTTCCGGACTAGAAGTAGCAGAAAGAGATGTTGAATTGGAATGTCCTGAAAGAACTTGTTCAAGCTTTTCGCCTCCGCAGCTCACCTGAGACTATTCTGCTTCTCTTCCGATAAGAATCTTGCCATCGTAGCAGAGCTTGAGGTCCTCTATGTAATCAGCGAATATAATGTTATCGGCATAAATACTGTGGCGTAGATAACGCTAATGCAACTGAGGCAATGCATTGGGGTGCAGATCCTGTAAGAGGCTCAGTGCATAAATGAATATATGTATTGATAAACAGTTAATCAAATAAAAGAAAGACGATTTTTTTAAAATAGAATTATTTATTAGTTTATACTCTTGATTCATCATCATTAATTGTTTTCTACTCACTTTTTGTCCATAGGTCCAATTTAACAAATAAACATTCTTAATTTATAGTTATTATTATTACATTTGGACGTTTGATACTTTGGACGGAGATACTTTCTCCCCCACCCCAGCTACGAAAATCACTTGAATAATACATTATAAGTTCTACATTGACCAAATCATTTACATTTTTTTTTTAAATATAACATCTTTAATTTAGTTTTTTTCCTTTTTCCTTGAAAAAAAAAAAAAATTCACACCTTCCTTGTCTTTCAGGCTGTACGGGGATTTTCCGAACCAGGGGAGATGGGGGTCTGAAGTGTCAGGAATATGGTCATACCAAAGCTATGTGTAAGAAAGACTTTACATGTAGATGGTGTGGCAGTTGCGGGCATAAGACAAATGAGTGGCAAGGAAAAGTGGCTGCCCAGCAAAATGCAAGAATTTTATGATGTCAGGGAAAACGATAGATGAAATAAGACGTACTGGGAGCAGAGAGTGCTCCGTGCACTTGTCAAAGACGTTGGAAAGAGTCGAGGAGACCCGCTACATTTAGTACTCCTGCTGAGGGAAGGTCCTGGAGGTTCCTGAGAGCCGCTGGACTGAAAAGATAATATAAAGGCACAGTCTCACCATGGAAGGTGCACAGCTGTGCACTGGACTGTGCCACAGGAAAACCCTATTTTTATTGTTCCCAGAAATAAATACATACCCTAAAGCATGTATAAAATAAAGATCAATAACAAATAAAAAGAGTTTGATCGGTAGCAATGGTAAGCGCAAACCCCACCGCTGCTGAGAACCCCATATGCCAGAAATGGCCAGGAAGGGCGAATAAAAAAAAAAAATCTCTGGATTGAGCCAAATCGGAAACAAATGGTACATTAAGGTTGCGTTATGGATGATTTTATTTGTGACAAAGTAGGGAGCATTGAGGATTTTACGAAGGGTTTTGGATTGTAAGGATACGCATTTTATATATAAGTACTTCAAAAAAACCACTATAAAATAAAAAAAGGTCAAACACACATAATGGAATATATTAATTCGTCTAAAGTGACTTGAAATGGCGTAAAGAGAATTAATTTCTCCACCTGGCGTTAATCATACTATGAAATATACAAATAATTCTTACTTCTTGCTTAGTCATGTAGATTGGTTTGTTGAGAATGATCCAAACCGTCGTTTCCCAACATCCAGGATGGGTAGTGGATCCTTCGTAGGTCATGTAGTGATCAGTCACAGGTAGGATACTGTACAGCGACAGCGAAGGGATCGATGTATAAGCTCCTGAAAACAGAACGTGTTACATTTTAATTTTATAGAAAAAAATTCTGAAACGGGGAAAGGATAAATATTGTTGTCTTACTTCATGATAATTATTAAGGCAATATATATTTTAATAATTCAGTCATATAACTTGTAACCAAGATTAAGGAACTTTTTTTTTTTGTTCCTGTGACTAATAATTAAATTTCTAATTTAGCATATGCACGTGTTCTGACATCTTATATCTTAACTTTCGTTTCTTTATGTATATATGTGGCATGCCATAATATTGTATATTGAATAAGTATCTTTTTTGTATTTTTATTATCTTTAATATCTTCCTATTTATCTTTAATTGTATATAGTAATTATGTATAAATTCTCTCTTTTTTCTTTTATTTTATGTCTTTTCCTTGTATATTGTATTAATTATGTAAATATTTCTTTCTGTAAATAGATGTCTTAACCTTTTTTTGCTGCTTTATAAAGCTATCCAACCTAACCCCTTCTCACCTGAGCTAGCATGGTAGAATAAATATTTAATGATGGCCAAATAATGTTTAAGTACCTTATATTCTCTATAATTATCTCTTTAGAGATGAAAGGCTGGTAAAGCCAGGCGCCCAACAAGTAAAAATTCCGACAGAAAATTATATTTATTTAAACTTATTTTATTATCTTCTTATTTATCCTTTTTTTTTTTGGTCATAAACTTTTAGTAACGAAATATAAGATTCGGTTGATTAAGTGCATCACATAAATATCGTTTAAGATAAAATTCATCGAACATGTATTCATATTTCAACGGTTGTTGAGCTCAAATCGAGGTTTATGATTTTTGAAGTTTCAGCCTCTTTGATCTGTGCGTTAACAATAGTCTCTTGTATAGCTGGCGCCTCCGACCTGCTATCCAGGATTTATAAGCTTATGTTTATAAATCTCTCTTATGTATTATATCTATTTAGATATTTCACGTTTCTTATTTTATTTATTACCTCATTCAGTGGCCGAGGATCCAGGAATGTTCTGAGGGGAGGGGGACCCACTAGCAAAACAGGTAAGTTCTAATAGGTATGGTCTAATGCAACTCAGAATACTGCGTACCAAGTATTTTACTCAAATACTGATTTTTTTTTTTTTTTTGTTGAGTATCAAAGAATTTAATTACTACTTCAGTTAATGTCAAAATATTAACTGAATTAGTGTTTGAATTCCCAATAGTGGTTCAATTTGAGTAAAATACTTCGTACTCGGTACTCAGAATAGCATTTGCCCATCTCTGAATTATATACACTAAAGTTATATATAATGAAGTGTGTACCTATTTTAGTTTTTTTGCCTTGCTTTCCCTCCACGTGTGGGGGGATAAGTATGGTTCAGAGTTCCTATGGCCGAATGTAAATAGTGTAAATAGGTATGCCTGCATCTAAGATGTTTATTTTCATTACTTTTTTTTTTTTTACTATGATATTTTATTTTGTTTTTTTGTAGCTTTATATTATTTGAAGTTAGCTTATTTTTTTTAATTTGTAAATATGGTGTGAATGTGCTCTCAGAACTCTATTATAGATGTCCTTTATTGAGACAGATTGTAATATTTATCAATAAACAAAAAATAAAATTTTTTTTTTCGTCATAAGAAGGCGGTCAAATTTCCTTAACTGGATAATTGACTATAAACCTAAAACAAGACATGTTTGCAAACATTTTCCTTAAAACCAATTTAAAATACTTCCTAAGAGATAAGAGCACTCTAGCAACTAACATAAGCTATTTCTCCAATAAATGAAGAATTTTTAGTGTAAATATTCAAAGTTTTTAAATTATTCATTGTTTTTTTAGTAAAAAGCATAAATAAATCCAATTTATTTAATAAAATTTACTTTTCAATTAAAATAATAAGAATTAAAGCGCCGGATACTTAGTTACTTTTTCAAGATAAATCTTTTTCTCACCTTCCTGGGGGGGAGGAGAACTCCCCGCACTGCCCTCACCTGGATCCACTACTGACTTTATTATATGTATTTATTTATTTTGTAATTTCCGTATTATTCTTAATTTATCTGTTGTTATTATATTCTATTTATTTATTGTCGTTTTTTTTTTATTACTAATTTCTTATTACTTCACACAATTATATTGAATTTTATTTTTATAGTCCTACGCCACCCACAATAGGAGATCCACCAAACCACGTTAGCCCTAGTTCTAAAAGAAAACGTTCCCTGCCTCGTTTAAAAATGCTCATCGAAAAAATCACGACAGAATTTCCCGGAAAAGTACGTCTAACATACTTAGTGGTTAGAAGAATTTACGATGAAGGCTTAAATTTATATGTAAATATTGTACGAATTAAAATTTAAAGTTCTAGAACTTGTTGCTTTGACAGTGTGTATTTTTTTATTTCCATTATGATTAAGACGTTGGCATTGAAAAGGTAATAAGTAAAAAAATTAATACAAATAAAAAAGGTGGCCTACAAACATATTGGACTATTTAGCCTATATAACCTCGTTATTTTGGCAATTTGGGAGTGTAAGTCACGCCAAACGGCTCAATATTTTTGAAGGCCAACATTTTATCGATTTTGGAATCAAATTATCTTATGATCCATGAGAAAAGAAAATGGATATTTACGAGTTTTTAGTACCTAATTAAGCAGAAAATTTTTTGCCGACCTCCGAATTGAAAACGCTCCAATTTCGAAAATATTCGTAAATAAAATATTTATAGTTTACGATGAGACGAAGCTATTTATGATGTTAATGATCTGATAAAAAGAGGTCTGTACCACGGACGGAAAAGAGGATTAAGTCTAAATTGGGAGTGGTTTCTATAAAGGGCTTTTAATTTTAATTTATTTATTGAGTAATATAATAGATAGATAGAAAAAAAACTTTATTCTGGGAATAAGTCATTTTAGAATAACAAAATTTTACAAAAAGAATAGAATACTACTGGCCTAAAAGTTTGAAACAATAAATAAACTAAACTAAATGTAATGAAAACCTTAGGTAAACAAGTTATATACAATACAGAAAAACCTATGTACAAAACATTTAAAACTATGAACAAAACTATATATAATGGTTGAACAACATAAACATTGAATAAAAAAAATTGAATAAAAAAAATATATTAAGAAAAAAAATAGATGTATTGAAATTCCAATGTGGAAAGTAGGAAATACATGTACTATCTCTTACAAAGTATTATCGTATGATATAATAATAATATCATTATTATTGCTTAATATGATAATGATATTAATATATTAATATGATTGCTACGCAATACATATATAGTGTTGATAGTTTGCTGGTATATGACTCTTTTTGGGACAGGAATTGGAATAGGATGTTTTTGAATATGGATAAGGGGGGGGGCATGGTGAATTTTGATAGGGAGGGAATTCCAAAAGTTGACAGAGCGGGCTATAAAGGAGTTTTGGAATGAGGCAGATCTATGAGAAGGGATGTATAGGTCAGAACATCGACATCTTATGCTGAGGGAATGGATTGAGGACTTAAATTGGAGAAGGTTGTAGGCATCAGAAGGACGATGATCGGTAATGATTTGATAAAGGAATTCGCCTAGGAAATATTGTCTTCTTAAGGAGGGGAAGAGACACCTTAACTCGGTGTAGTGGTGGGAGACACATAGCATATAATATCACTAGGACAATAATTATAGTGAGCTAAGGCTATATCCACACTATATATACAGAATATGTAAAATAAAAATAAGCAAAATAACAACGAAATAATAATCAAAAAAGATTAAAGTTTAAAAAAGAATGTGTCAAAACGGTGTTTTGCTTCTCCTGTAAAATAAACTTTTCATGGCTTACAACATTTATCTAGTCAAAGCCTCAATTGTTATTATTCTGTTTTTAACTTCTGTTTCTTATTGTAATAAAGATTTCACCATAAATAAGCAAATTTTTTCTGAGATGGGACGAGTTATATAACTTTACGCTGATTTCACAGGATTAATTAGTTCTAACACCAACGCGGAGAAAGCTGCTCGTCACATCAGTTTTCTTACAAGAAATCTCCCTGTAACTTCTTAATCTTAGACAAACTTCATGCGATATATTCAATCTTTCTATCGCCTTCAATAAACTTATACAATGCTTTCCATCCCGCTAGAGCCCGTTTCCACTTCACTCTTCCTTCTGATTTTATTTGACTATTAAATTTATTATCAACGTACAATGTAATTTCTTAATGTAAACATATTCAACAAATTTCATTAATGGGATCATTGTCAAGTGAACAAACACAAGGCCAGGGGTCTTGAAGTGGAAACGATATTGGCCGAGTTGTCCGCTCCAAGTGAGACACACAACTCACTCGCAGGACATTTAAGTTACATCTCCTCCACCAACTTTTAGCCAAACTACGAGCACCGACCATTTAGAGTGCTTCCACATTCTGCCATTTCGACTCCTACAAGATACTATTTGTAAGGAATGCCTTTTGCTGAATCAAGAGTTCTATTTATATTTCATTTCACGTTATATATCTCACATAAAACTTTTAAACATTTTATTTTAAATTTTTTTTTATGTTATGCCTTGATCCTCTTGAGCTCTTTCGGCCATGTGACGTCTAGCAGCTCAGTAAATTTCACCTTCTATCCTGGCTTTGCTTCTAATGTCCTGTAGTCCGAAACAAGTCAGTAGATGCAGAGCAGTGAATCCTTGTCGACACAGTGGCCATATTGCTGAATCGACAACTCCAATACGGTATAGATGGCGTTGGAGATAGTCATGTCTGGTTTTCATCCTGAACTGTGCAACTCACTTCTAGAGAGATCCATTGGCACACTTCCATTCTCTTGCAGTAAAGAAGCCTATTGTTTCTCTTTTAAATCCAACTGCCGTTTCTGTTCCAATTCTTCAATGATCACTGTTTTGATTAGCTTCTTTGCCTTCAAGAAAGGGATTGGCATATCTGGCTGATCTTTTCCGACACCTTCTTTTGCTAATCGGTCAGCATTTTCATTACCTGTCAAACCACAGTGTCCTGGTATCCACTGTAGAACGACATCTGTGTCTTCTAAAATCAGCTTCTCAATCAATTCCTGGCACATACTAATTTGATTTGTGGAACAGCAGGAAGAATCTAAAATGGCAATTATTACAGCAATTAATTAAGACCACAACTTTTTGCGGTTTAGACTTTTTTATTAGTTCTAATGCTAGCAAGACAACTTTTACTTCACTGTCAAAGTTAATTGCTAGCTTTCCCACAGGCTCTGACATTTGGAAATATTCTGCATAAAGACCAGCTCTCCCATCCTTTCTTACTCTATTCGTAGAACCGTCTGCGTACACGTGTCATTTTAAGATGAGTAACTCTTTTTAATACTATTTTTGTATAAGACTCTTATCTTCGGCATAACATGTCCAAGAGTCTAGGATTCAGTATTTGGAATGAAAGTACTGTATTAGGCCAACGGTTCTGCTTGGGTATGATTTTGTAATCATCGCGCCCAACCAAATGTTTTAAAGTCGTTAAGAGTACACAAATTATAAAAATATATATATATATATATATATATATATATATATATATATATATATAAAATTGGTCTTGTGATTGTGCATCATATTTTTTAAATAGTGATTATTTTCATTTTCATTTATATAATATATATTTTAATCAAATTATCTGGATTATTTTTTTTTTAAGATTACTAGTTTATTGATAAATATTACAATCTGTCTCAATAAATGACACATACAATAGAGTTAATAGAGATATAGATTATTACCTATATGCATTTGTATTTTTTTTTTTGGATTATAATCAGTATTCACACCCTCTTCCAAGCAGTTATCTAGTGCAAAAATCAGTAATAATTAACTGATTAATCAATACTTTTCCGAGGCCAGCGCTCTGGATTCGTCTCTTATTAATATGGAATATATTTATCCAACAATCCGCAATCTTGCTTGCAAGAACAATCCCGTGCATACCACCATATATATATTATACTCTTACACACAAATACACCATGTTTCATGAATCATAAAAACATATTTTTAGACTTACTTTTAAAATTACCAAATTGATTTTTAAGTAAGTTGTGAATCCATCACTCTCGACAAAGAGTAAATTAATTACCTTGGTAAAAATGTTGACTTTCAATCTCGATTAACCAATAACCAATTTCAAGAGGGCTAATACCCCCTCCCATTCCACTCCCCCAAACACAAAACTCTCTCATCTTCTCTTGGGTATAATCTGATGTAAAATTTAAAAAAAAAAACGGATTACTAAACGGGCAGGCGTCCATTCGAAGGATTTGTTACTTAACATACGTGCTCCTTTACTATTATTTTTTGATTCCATGAATTAGTTTCGATGAAACATTTGATTTTTAAAAAAAAGTAAGAAAAATACCAGTATTTTATTTACCATTATTGTTGTCCATAGCAAGAACAAGATGAGTCCTGGTCTTGCCCACTCAATGTTGGTCTTAAGACTAATTACACGGTGGGCCAGACCCCCTTACCGTGCACCCCCCCCCCACATCCCTATAAATTGCATATCGTTGTGTTCCTTGTAACAATTTATTAAAAAAAAGCCAATGTTCCCACAAAAAAAAGTGAACGCACTGCCCCAAAATGGCGTCCAAAGATGGCGGATTGACGACTTTGACTTTAGTTAGTTTTTTGGTCACTGAGAATCAGCATTAAGCTTAATTTCCTCATAGTTGGTCTTTTATTAAAGCTGAATAGTTATAGAATAATAAAACATGAAGAAATATTAAAAACTAATTGGCTAAGGCTATGAAAAACACCAGTAAAGTCAATTTTTTTAACAAAAAAATTTTCAAGTTACAAATCAAGCGTCGTTTGTAATTAAACGGCCTACAATAACGCAAAACGTGCTGAAATAAACCATCTGGAGAATATATTTCTCTTTCTGAAACGCTGATTATTTTTTACAAATGTTTGAGTAGTTCCGTAAAAAATGCACTTATGCGGCAGAAAAGCGGTACTGGCGTGGGTGCCTACAGGCCTCTACCACACCATTCAGTGCCCATAAATGGCTTAGTTATAGTGATATAATAACATTTTTGGTACATTATATTGGTTTTATTAACGAACAAACATTAATGCAATAATTTAATAGTAAAAAAAAAAATTTAATTAAAAAAAAAATTTATTATTATTTTTTTAAATTTTAACCTCCTTTATTCTATACGTAGGTCGTTTAAGAATACCTCAATTGTAAAAATGGTATAATTATAATAATAAAACTTAATTAAAAAATATTTTGCTAAATATCTTGATTTTTTTTTTATTTAACGTTTGCAATTTAACACTGTGTTTTGAATATTTACTGATTCTTAGAAGTAATTAAAATTTTTATATACTTCCCAGGAAATGAGTCATATTCACACCTTTTTTATAAACTAAAATAATATATACCTAATCTGAACTATATATAATGAATAGCTACCGGGTTGTTTAATAAAACTCATATATCACTAATTAAAAAATTAATTTTTATTTCCTCTATTTTGTGCAGAAGTTGGACTATATCATAAATAAATAGGAAATTTTAATATTGAATGAATTATTCTCTATGCACAAAGAAAGATATAAAGGGTGACCCTATAAGTTCTTCTATAAACCAAAACTGATTGTTTGGATTTGATCTCAAAATGAGGAAAAACGTGAACTTAAACGAGAAAATTGGAAAAAAACATTAAGCGAACGAGAAAGGAAGTGCCAAAACCTCGGAATAGATAAAAAGGACCAGTTATATCCATTATATAGCTAAATGAATGTATAGTAGATAGATGAACAGAATATTTCAAGATGCTGCTAAAACGGGATCAATTGCAGTATGGATGATATTAAGTTGACGATGTAGGTTTATTATGGAGAAAACCACTTTATTTTCGATTGCTGAAGGTGCACATCGGGACTATATTAACTTTGAAGATGAATATAGAGATGTACATCGAGAAAGTTATAGCTCATAGCTTTCCTTCTGTTTAGTGGATTTTTAAAAGATTTTTTAAGGTATCTTATATTAGTTGTAGCTCGTTATTCTTCTCGTTATTCTTGAATTGTTCGGAATTTGTACCATATCATAAAAAAATAGGAAATTTTAATATTGAATGTATTATTCTCTCTGCACAAAGAAAGATGGAAAGTGCGAAACCGAACTGCTTTGACAGTTTTGCGCGTACATAGGCAACAAGCATATTAGAAAATAATATGAAAGGACTGTGGTTTTTACCTTTACAAGAAAGGAGGTACTAGGAAATGTAATACCCATCAAGACCCATTCCTGTTTAGTGTACCAAACAAATTATACACAAGAATCGTAGAAGCTGGAATAAGAAATATTGTCGATTGCCAGAGTGATATGGATTGAGAAACTCAAGTTGCACATTGGAAGAGAAGTTGAAAATTGGGACTGTCTTCACTTTAAGGAAGGTTATAGAGAAGTCCACATAAAAAGAAAAATAGCTCTCTATCTGCTCAGTGCCTCACACTTTGGATTATGCTAATATCTAACTGTCTTTCAGAAAAACTCGTTTTCCTTTTAGATCCCTTAAAAAATCTTTTGAAAATCCACTAAACAGAAGGAAAGCTATGAGCTATAACTTTCTCGATATACCTCTCTATATCCTACTTCAAAGTTAATATAGTCCCGATGTGCACCTTCAGCAATCGAAAATAAAGTGGTTTTCACCATAATAAACCTACATCGTCCACTTAATATCATACAAACTGCAATTGATCCCGTTTTAGCAGCATCTTGAAATATTCTGTTCATCTATCTACTATACATTCATTTAGCTATATAATGGATACAGGTCCTTTTTATCTATTCCGAGGTTTTAGCACTTCTTTTCTCGTTCGTTTAATGTATTTTTCCAATTTTCTCGTTTAAGTTCACGTTTTTCCTCATTTTGAGATCAAATCCAAACAATCAGTTTTGGTTTATAGAAGAACTTATAGGGTCACCCTTTATATCTTTCTTTGTGCATAGAGAATAATTCATTCAATATTAAAATTTCCTATTTATTTATGATATAGTCCAACTTCTGCACAAAATAGAGGAAATAAAAATTAATTTTTTAATTAGTGATATATGAGTTTTACTAAACAACCCGGTAGCTATTCATTATATATAGTTCAGATTAGGTATATATTATTTTAGTTTATAAAAAAGGTATGAATATGACTCATTTCCTGGGAAGTATATAAAAATTTTAATTACTTCTAAGAATCAGTAAATATTCAAAACACAGTGTTAAATTGCAAACGTTAAATAAAAAAAAATCAAGATATTTAGCAAAATATTTTTTAATTAAGTTTTATTATTATAATTATACCATTTTTACAATTGAGGTATTCTTAAACGACCTACGTATAGAATAAAGGAGGTTAAAATTTAAAAAAATAATAATAATTTTTTTTTTAATTTAATTTTTTTTTTTACTATTAAATTATTGCATTAATATTTGTTCGTTAATAAAACCAATATAATGTACCAAAAATGTTATTATATCACTATAACTAAGCCATTTATGGGCACTGAATGGTGTGGTAGAGGCCTGTAGGCACCCACGCCAGTACCGCTTTTCTGCCGCATAAGTGCATTTTTTACGGAACTACTCAAACATTTGTAAAAAATAATCAGCGTTTCAGAAAGAGAAATATATTCTCCAGATGGTTTATTTCAGCACGTTTTGCGTTATTGTAGGCCGTTTAATTACAAACGACGCTTGATTTGTAACTTGAAAATTTTTTTGTTAAAAAAATTGACTTTACTGGTGTTTTTCATAGCCTTAGCCAATTATTTTTTAATATTTCTTCATGTTTTATTATTCTATAACTATTCAGCTTTAATAAAAGACCAACTATGAGGAAATTAAGCTTAATGCTGATTCTCAGTGACCAAAAAACTAACTAAAGTCAAAGTCGTCAATCCGCCATCTTTGGACGCCATTTTGGGGCAGTGCGTTCACTTTTTTTTGTGGGAACATTGGCTTTTTTTTAATAAATTGTTACAAGGAACACAACGATATGCAATTTATAGGGATGTGGGGGGGGTGCACGGTAAGGGGGTCTGGCCCACAGACTAAATCTTCCTGATAACCGATCAAACTAAAGCAATTTAAAGAGGCAATTGAACAACTATTAAAATCAGTGTATGAAATTCAGCACAATGTAACGTTGCTAAAACTTATCCCATTTAGACGATTTTTTTAATAGTGTTGTCGAAAATTCAAAAATCTTTTAAAAATATTATCTGTACATACTATAGAGACATTACTGTCATTTTACAGAATAAAGAAACCTAAATAAAACCCGAATGAAAAATTGGAAGAGTTGAATGCAAAAGTATATAGGTTTTACAAATTTTTTATATATAGTAACTAAAATTGTCTGGCATCAGTAACCATTTTTTCTTAGTTTTTATTGACGAAACCGAATTTTTTTATTTGTTTTTTTATTTTTAGACCGTGGATCAAGAAGGCAGTGGATCAGCTGATGCGAAGGACGTGTTCTGAAATCTTCTCTCAGTTGTTGCCTATTTTTTCAGCGGAATCTCTTTGATTATTTACTGAATATAGTTGAACTGTACACCAGAGCAGTTGTTATTTACAGTTTGCTACATATTTTTTTTTAATATTTTTTTTTTTTTTTTTTTTTTTTTTAATTTTTTTTTTCTTCTCTTATGATATGCGGCATTGTCAGCCAGTGATGTCCAGTAAGGTGCCCACTAAGAGGACTCGGTCAGACGGAGTTAGTACCCCTCGTGATTCACCAGTGAAACAAAGAACTCGTCGCTGCCTGCGAGAAATAGCTCCAATAACCACAGTGAAAACTTCAGATACAGAACCTCAGCCTCAACCAGGTACTTCTTCGCAAGAAATGGTTGAAGAATCTCCTTTCTTCACTCCAAACCCGTTCCAAGTGCTTCATAATGACAGAGAAGTAATGGAGTCAGCAGCAGTACCCAGGGAACCAAGGCCTCCTCCGATATTTGTTAAAAACATCAAAAATTTTCAACTACTGTGTACACAGCTAAACGAAATCTGCTCCGGCAGTTATTCTTGCCTCAACAGGACTAACGACACAAAAATAACACCTGATACTGCAGAAGCCTACCGAAAAATTGTGAAGTACCTGTCAGAAACTAATGCAAATTTCCACACGTACC